GAAAAATGTCTGTTGTTTGGCCGATGTTAACATTCCTTACTCCTTGATTATCATTCCTTCTTCCACTGTATTTGATAGCCATGTCGGGTAATTGACTTCTCGGATGGCCCTGGGCTCCAGAAGTCTATCTACTTCTTCCTCTACTGCTTCGACATGCATCAACGTCGGTCCTCTTGCTCATTGGATTACAGGTTTGGCCGACCTGCCGACGTTCAGTTGATGGCAAGTGACCTCGGGGTCAATGCCAGGCATTTCGTAAGGTGTCCAAGCAAATACCTCAATGTTTGCTCTAAGCAAAGCTTCCAATTCCCTTTCTTCTTCTTTGGCTAAGCCTGAGCCGAGAAGAAAAAAGCGTTCTTCATCCCCCTCCTGGACGAGGATTTTCCTCAGTGCCTCTTCACTCTTTTTGGCTGGTTCCTTGCCGATATCATCTAGGACCTCTATGTTCTCGTTTTCAATTTCTGCCTTCTCTGGTTCTCGAATGCTGCAGGTGGATTTCATTGCGGCCATGGAGCAATTCTCCGCCTGCAGTTGATACCCTCTGACTTCTTCAATCCCATGTTCTGTTGGGAACCGCAGTAGTTGGTGCAATGTTGAGGGAACTGCCCCCCATTGCATGCAACCATAGCCTTCCCAAGACGATATTGTATGGTAAGGGCGTGTCAATCACCATGAATTCTGTCTTGATCTTCTTCTAATTGCTCTCGTATGATTCTTAAAATATTTTGCATATCTTATGTACTTTTCCTTCTTTGTGCAATCTTCTCGGGGTGACACACCTCGGTTATGCCACCTGACGTTTTACTTCGGCAAGTACTTGTCCTGTAAATTGCTTACAAATTTCAACAAGGATAAATATATACTAGTTTAATCTCAACTTTGTAAACTTTTCTTAAGTTATAACAAGTGCTAAACAATGATCTACTTGTAAATTGCTACAAATTTCCAGTAGTGTTAAACAATATATATTGGCTTAGTTTCAACTTGTAAATTGCTACAAATTTCAACAAGTGAAGGTAAACAATGATCTCGGCTTAACTTCAACTTGTAAATTGCTACAAATTTCAACAAGTGAAGGTAAACAATGATCTCGGATTTAACTTCAACTTGTAAATTACTACAAATTTCAACAAGCGTTAAGCATTACTTCGGTTTAACTTCAACTTGTAAATTTTTAAAATTTTAACAAGTGAAGATAAACAATTATCTCGGATTAATTTCAACTTGTAAATTGCTACAAATTTCAACAAGCGTTAAGCATTACTTCGGTTTAACTTCAACTTGTAAATTGCTACAAATTTCAACAAGTAAATATAAACAATTATCTCGGCTTAACTTCAACTTGTAAATTGCTACAAATTTCAAAAAACGTTAAGCATCACATCGGTTTAACCAACTTGTAAATTGCTACAAATTTCAACAAGTGAAGATAAACAATTATCTTGGCTTAACTTCAACTTGTAAATTGCTACAAATTTCAACAAGCGTTAAGCATTACTTCGGTTTAACTTCAACTTGTAAATTGCTACAAATTTCAACAAGCGTTAAGCATTACTTAGGTTTAACCTAAACTTGTAAATTGCTACAAATTTCAACAAGCGTTAAGCATTACTTAGGTTTAACCTAAACTTGTAAATTGCTACAAATTTCAACAAGCGTTAAGCCGGCCTTGGTTTCTCTATTGATCTTACTTGGCTCCAACCTGAGTTTGATTTTCGGCCTCGCATCGACGAGCCGTTTCTTTTTTCTTGTTCCGACGCCTTTGTTCCCGACATGTCCTCTTTGGCCCTAGCATACTTCTCAATTCTGGCCAACTTTAGTCTGATCTTGTGTGTTTCTTTTTTATCTTCTGGGATCTAAGATTTGCTCATTGTGCTTTTCTCTTCTTGGACTCAAGTACCGAGATCTTATCTTCTGGAATCTTGGATCTGCTCACTCAGGTTGAGCTCTTCTTTTCTCGGACCTACTCATCTAAGCCGAGATCATGTCTTCTAGGATCCAGGATCTGGAATCCGGGATCTGCTCACTTAGGTTGAGCTCTCGTCTTCTCGGGCCTACTTGTCTAGGCTGAGATCATGTCTTCTCGGATTCGGGATCCAGGATCTGGAATTCGGGATCTACTCACTCATGATGAGTTCTTCTATACTTGAGTGTTATCTCATTGGGAGCGCTCATGTCCCCTGTCTTTGCATCCCTTCTGGAAGGGTCTTCGTTCCTCCGCAGGTATCTATCCTTCCATACCTGGAGGTCATCTTCGTTGTAGTATTCGCTTTGATCTGTTGTCTTTGGTGCGTCACCTTCCTGGCAGGCGTCTTTCACTCCGTGACTCTGGTCATGAGTTTCTGTGTTGTTATTGTCCCCTTCAACGTTGAGGTTGATAGATCCCTCATTCCCAGCAGGAGCGTTGTCTCTAGTCTGATCCATCTGTCCGTCATTGGCCATCTATTCTTTTTTCTTTTATTGGCTATCTATTCTTCTTTCTTTCCCACAGACGGCGCCAAATTGTGTGGGTAATTTTCTGACCACACTGCCCGCTTAGTAACCAGCTAGAGAGTACCAGCAGAATAGATGGCACCTGGCTGACCTGCAACAGAAAGAGAAGATTCCGGCGGTGGTTCGTCCACCCGAGGGCACTCCGACGATCAAGTCAGTATATCTCTCAAAGATAAATCAAGTGCTAAACCTCACAAGCTTAAGCATAAAAAGCATACCTTAGACCCATGGGGTGCCTCTCTTTTATAGCCAACATAAACCTAGTCTCAATAGAAGCCTAACTTCTATGGACTCAGGATTACTGCTAATCTTGGACTCCCAGTAAGATTAGGATAAACTCTTTAAGAGTCTTATCTTAATACAAACCGAAGTCTTCTCTCATTCTAGGACTCTTGTCCCTCATCCAGGTTGAATTCCCTTTTCATTCTAGGACTCTTGTCCCTTATCCACTTATCTCGGATTCCGATATCTTCGGAGATAACCTCGGCCTTGCCGAGATCACCTCAGCGTCACGACCAGGACACGTGGCATCTCGGCTGACACGTCGGTGTCACCTTGCCACGTGTTGGTACTCAGAAAATATATCCCCACATAGAGTTTTACACAAATTTAATCTTAATTTAAACTATACTAACCTTATCTATTTTATATGGATTCTATTTGAGAAATACTTATTTTACATATATTTTCCAGCATAAATTCAAGTAATCTATAAATTCAATACCAATTTTATAGGGGTTATATTTGAGAAATACTTCTTTCACAAACTCAATTTGAGTTTTACATAATCTAACTACATATTCTATATGAATTATACTTTGATTGTACAAAATCTTTCATACATTATTTTATAATCACAACTTAAAGGAGGAAAAACTTACTCAATAATGATACACTCGAAGAACCTTTGAAGTTTAAATTTACTGCTTAAGTTACTTTTTCAATTGCTGAACAATAAGTTCTTCTATGTTTTGACATCATATTATAGATAATTAATTACTTCACACAGTGAGATGTATTTATCATTTGGATGTTTTCATTTATTTTTTCTTTTTGAGTTTCGATATTGTTATGAGATTCTTTCTTAATTAGTCGTTATTGAATTTATTTTGTATAGTTGATATTTTAATTTAATTAAGAGGAATTATTTTACAATTTTATAATTTAATATATATCATATAAAATCATTGTATGATAATCCAACTACAACATATTAACTATAACATATTTATATTTAATTTTTTTCAACAAAATTTATATAGGTTCTATTTTTACATATTTTTATTTTCCAAATGAATATAAAAAAATAAATAGTTAGAATTATTTTTAATTTTATATTACTAATTCTTCTTCCAATTTAACTATTATTTTTATTTAGTTTACTATCTTATAATTTAATATATAGCATACAAAATTATTATATCATAATTACATTTTGATAATACGATATAACTAAAATTATCAAAATACACTAATAATTTAACTAAAATTAATATATATATATATATATATATATAAGTATTCAAGTAACATTTTTATAAATGGCACCCAACTCTTTCATGGAAAAAATTGAATGCATTTGATGAAGAAGATGAGCAATGAAAGTAGAATCGCTACCAGTTAAAAGAATGTTATCTACATAGATGAGAAGCACAGTGAGACTGGAAGAAGTCTTGTGAATAAAAAGAGAAGTATCTGAGGAATTATTAGTAAAACCTTGAGAAAGCAAAAATGATGAAAAAGTGGAGTACCAAGCTCTTAGAGCTTGTTTAAGGGCATAAAGTGCCTTTTTGAGTCTTCAGACATGAGCAAGACATGTGGAATCAACAAACCCCTGAGGCTAGACCATGTACACCTCCTCCTCAAGTTTGCCATGAAGAAAGACATTTGAGATATCTAACTAGGGGTGCAATTTGGACGGGTTCGATCGGGTTGGAAGGTTGTCCAAGCCCAACCCAAGTTGTGCTGAGACCTGCCCAGACCTGAATTGTAATTCAAGGTTTCCTGCCCAAGCCCGACCCAAGTTAAACCCGAGCTGCCCGAATTGTCCGAATTGTAAATGAATTTTATTTTTTTTTAAGCTACATTATTTAATTATTAAAATTTGACTTTATTTATATTTTTTTTTAAATAGAAAATCATTAATACCATCAAAACAAATAATTTATATAATGTAAAAGAGATGCCGCTATAGTAGTTTTTATAATTTATGAGTGAAAATAAAATTAAAAAAAAAGATTTTTTATTATTTGTATATATAATATATATTTAATATGATTTAATAATGTAAATTACTTTAATATCATGTAATGACTAACAATTTATATATATATTTAATATTTTTATATATCTATATATGTATAATTCAGATTTTAAATTGCTCAAATTATTTAATATTTTTATTTAAATTCATACCAAATTTAAAAATATTTTATTTAAATTTTAAAAAATTTAGACTAAATTCGAATGGTTGGAATTGAGCATGTCCAAATTGCACCCCTAATTCTAAGAGGAAGAGCAGGAGGTAAATGGAGAAGGGCCTCAACCTCATTTTAATCGAAGCCCTTTCTCTCTCATCTCAAAAAAACCCCAACAAAAAACAATAAAAAATTCCTCTAAATCTATATATACATAAAATCCCCAATTTTGACCTAAAATTCTCAGTATCACCACCCTTTCGCCGCCTTAGATTACTCCTCGTCGAAACCCTAACCTTGGATCTCTCTTTCTCTCTGTCTGTCTCTCTATATATATATGGCTGCTTCTCTGTCTCCCTCATAGATTTGCTATCCAAAGCCTGATCTTTTGATATATCCTGGTAAGAATTTTGTAATAATTTGTTGAGAATTGAGTTTTTTTTTATTTTTTTTATTTTATGGGTTGGGTTACTTTGAATCGATGATTGGTTCTTTGTGGTCTTAATTTGTTGGGTTTGTATATGCAGATTTGGTTCGAATCGGGAGTTTTTGTAAAAGACCCATTAGGGTTTCGACGTTTTTCGATTTTGTTACAGATCAGATTTTGCAAAAGATTTGTTTTTTGATTCGATTTCTGTATAACCTGAGATATGCCGCTTTTGCCTAAAAGTGAATCGATTGAAATTCGAGAGGTTTGGGAACATAATTTGGAGGAACAGTTTTCTAAAATTATGGAAATTGTTGATGATTATCCGTATATTGCTATGGATACAGAGTTTCCTGGGATTGTTCTTCGTCCTGTGGGCAGTTTCAAGAACAGTAATGATTATCATTACCAAACCTTGAAAGATAATGTAGACATGTTGAAATTGATTCAATTAGGGCTTACGTTTTCGGATGAGCAAGGGAATTTACCCAGCTGTGGTACTGGAAATTACTGCATTTGGCAATTCAATTTCCGCGAATTTAATGTTAATGATGATGTTTTTGCGAATGATTCGATTGAACTCTTGCGCCAAAGTGGGATTGATTTCAAGAAAAACAAAGAAATGGGTATTGATGCGCATCGGTTTGGAGAGCTCTTGATGTCTTCTGGGATTGTATTAAATGATAATGTTTATTGGGTTACTTTCCATAGTGGCTATGATTTTGGGTATTTGCTTAAATTATTGGCTTGTCAAAATTTGCCCGAAACACAAGCTGGATTCTTTGATTTGATCAATATGTACTTCCCTGTTGTTTACGACATCAAGCATCTGATGAAATTTTGCAATAGCCTTCATGGTGGATTGAACAAGCTCGCAGAGCTTTTGGAAGTTGAGAGAGTTGGTGTTTGTCATCAGGCGGGTTCAGATAGTTTGCTCACATCTTGTACATTCAGGAAGTTAAAAGAGAATTTCTTTAGCGGCTCACTTGAGAAGTATGCCGGTGTCTTGTATGGTCTAGGTGTTGAAAATGGACAAAATACTCATTGAGAAAAAAAAAATGAAAAAAAAAATTAAATGATAGCTTCTCATTGTACGACATGTTGTGCATGATGATACCCAAAATCCATGTACACCTTTTGGCCAATATGTTTTTTAATTAAAAAAATTCCCATATGATAGCTTAATTCTTCTTTGTTTCCCTCAAGTATGACTCTGATTTTGTGTGCTATGCTGCTTGAAAAGTTTTATGGCTTGGATTTGGTAAATTAATGCATATATTTGTCGGTTTTTAATTTAATTGCATCTATTTTCCTTCTGGTAACTATAAACAAAGTGAAGCATCTTTCATTGGCGGAAATAATTACTTTTGATCTTTAAGTCTGCTAGCTGATTGTGTTTCGCAGGTATAGCTTGTTACTTAGATCTTTATAGTTCCCCTATTTGGTCAGTTTAGTATTCCTTTTGAGCTCAGTACAAGGGAGAGTTGTATGCTTCTCAGAAAAGGATGAATCGCCCTTGAATTTGTTGTACTGTAAGTACGGTGATTTAATCTATTGATTATCTTTCAATTCGTTTTACTATTAAGTAGGATGATTTACTTAGATGGATTCTCTTTCAATTGGTTATAATGTAAGTACAGTTATTTAATCTATTGATTCTCTTTCGATTCGTTATACTATTAAGTATGAAGATTTACTTCAATGGATTCTCTTTCAATTGGTTGTACTGTAAGTATGGTGATTTAATATATTGATTATCTTTCAATTCGTTATGCTATTAAGTATGACGATTTACTTGAATAGATTCCCTTTCAATTGGTTGTACAATGATTTACTTCACAGGCAAAGTCTCTGATTGGGTCAGTTCAATTCTTTTTCAATTTCTGGTTAGTTGTATACTACGATTTGTCATAGCCAACAAGGGTTCCAACCGGGACAAGGAATTTGCCAGAGCATTGACACTTTCGAGGGCAGGAGGCTAGTCCAATGCACTTGAGGGAATGCCAATCTCAAATTTCATGTAATTATCTTGCCCTTGTTGTATATGCTTGACATTGGGTCATGTAATGGTTCTGATTAATTGAAAATTTGTCAAATGTTGAAGAGTTTACAACATTGCCTCAATCAACCAATTGCCTTGGCTACCCTTATTTCTGCTGGAACCCGAGAGGCAAAATATCCACTTGCTGGCTGCAACTTCTCAGAGGACCATCATAATCACATCCATTGCCAACGCTGCTGTTGGGACTATCCATCGCAACCAGTCAATTGTTTTTGCGTCCGCGAAGTAGCAAGATCACTCACCCTGACAGGCCCTGCTATTTATCTGTTGTAGATCAGTATCCCATTTATCAACTGACAACATTTGTTTGGCACCATCCTGTCGTGCCTGTGGTCTCCCTAGGTGAAGAAAATTTCTTTTTGTCTAGCAGCAAATCCCATAGCTCTCCTCATTGGAATTACGTGTAAGTTGGTTTTCTTTTCTTGAGTTTACTTTTTTACCTACAAACTTAAATGTGCTCTTTCAGGCTTGAGCAGTGATCTGATTCTATATAATATTCTGTGTGGTTTCTGGACTTTCTGTATGGAAACTCAGGTTCCTTTTAATTCATATTGCAAATAGGGTATCCCGGTAGGGATGAAAACACGGCCAAGGATTCTCTATCTTACTCTCCCCGCCCCTCAGTTTCAAATTCTCTCTACCACATGATTTATGAATCTGACTGTAAGCGTGTGTTAAATAGAGGATTTGGAGGAGTGGAGAGCGGGACATAGTATTTGGTTCTTGGAAATGACTGTTTTGGAGAGGCAGGCATGGAATGGCAAGCCCTATTTGATTTTTGCATGCAACATAAATGGGATGACACAAGTTCATCAAAGCGTAGACTGTTCAGATCATGGATTTGAGTAAAATTTTAGAAAGAGAAAAGGTAAAGGGGTGCAGACTAAAAACAAAATAAACAAAACATTACAAAAAACACAGTTTCTGAAATTAAAAGCCCTTGCTGCTACTGACTAAGGGAAGAGTTCCATTAAGAATATCATAACCAACTGCCAAGTACACAAATTACAACATCCCTGATTTTCCTACTGAAGCGGATGTTAAAATGCTATATCATCCACAATGGAGACCATTCAATCCAATTTTTTTAGGAGTTTTGTCCTAGCATACACCCAATGGTTGGCAACGAAGTGCGCCTACAAAGACATCTGTTTCAAATTTTGGTTCTATCAGGTGCAGTGCACCTTCCACCTTCCGTACTTTCATCTCCTGCATAACTCTCTTCATTACCTAGCAAGCATAAAGATCTTATGATTAAAAGGTGTAATTCATAAAACCATAGTGAAATGTAGGTGCATGTGAGTCGTCAGTGTGCATGAAAATATAAAAATTTGAAACTACGTAGTTAACATAAAAATTAGCATGAAAAGGATGTACATTTTAAATGTTCCATAATAGTAAACCATGAAGAGCCTTCGAAATCATCACATACAAGTTCAGATAATGCCATTTGAAACCTCAAATGGTAAACATAAAAATTTGCATAGTAAACCATGAAGAACCAACTTTGGGAACAGCTTTGACATCATACTAGGTTGATTCCACTTGATGCTTGTACATATAGTTCAGACATCCCATGAATATTTAAACTGTATTACCCTGAGTTCCTGTCCACAAATGTCAGAAATTCTTTGATGTTGTCATTTGGAGGTAATCGCTCCCCCTTTAACAAAAGAAAAGAGAGAGAAAGATACATATTTTGCAAAAGTAGATTTGTGGAAAGAGATAGTTCATGCTATTTGGTAATTAACTAGGAAATTATTTATATAGTTGCAACTCTCAAATGTGTAAGAAATGTTTTTAGTTTCAGAATTCAAATTTATCAACCCTAGAAACTACAATCTGATGGTCTCTCCACACATTCTTAATTCATAAATTTATAGTAAAAAGCGGAAATCGCAAGTCCTTGAACATTTTACACATTGTTATTTTGTAATGACCATAGACAAATGACCACTGAAATGTACTCAATCCTATTAGTTTTATCTTTAATTCATTAAACCAATACAATCCGACCAAAGAAAAGAAAAGAAATAAAGGAGAATAAAGAATGAAAGAAAAGAAAAAGAAAGAATATTAAATGCTCACCTCAACCTCATCACCTCTTGCGTTTCAGTGTTTTCAAAGTCTTCAAGATATAAGCAATGACTTCCTTTAATGTGGCTTTTCTTTTTTCTTTGAAGTTCCATAGCTCAGAAACCACATACCTACCACTTGGATTATATTCATTCATCTCTTTCAAGGCAGTTGTGATTGCCTCATATATCTCAACTCCCCATTCCTCCTTGAGATTTTTGAGCAATTCATCATCCTCATTTATAATTTCCTGCATTATGCATGATCACTTACAATCAATTAATCTCCTGACAGTTCCTAGCTCTCTGGATATGCAACAATTAAATTTCAATAGAACTCAATCCACGAAAAAGAATATGTGGGAACTATTTGAATGTTTGGGAACCCATCATCATACAATGAGAAATCACAACTAGGAATTGATAGTAAAATGATTGACCATGTGAACAGGCGCAGAGCCACAGTGAAGGCATACCTGATGATTTCCTCCCTCAGCAGAGACAATTTTAAATGGATGCCAGTCAGGGTTCTTCATCCTCTCTTGCCACAAGGAGCACAGTTCTAAGGCCTTGATTTCTACTTCTGTATTTGGAAATTTTTCTTTGCATGCATTCTGAAACGGCTTCATTTCAATCTCTCCCATTCTCTTTATCCCAATAAGAGTGCGACTGCTCAACATTTCACTCAAACCCTGAAAATGAAGAGAACAATTATTGAATTCTCAGCATCACAAGGAAATATGGCTGCACGGAGTAGAAATTTAAAGTCACTATTCACAATTAGCTGCATACAGTTATGTGGCTCAACAAAGGTTGCTCTATTGTCGTGCCAGGAGGGGAGCTAGGTAAAACAATATACACTTGGATGCTTAGATCAAAATCAAATAACAAATCAATTGGTTGATATATTTGAGAACTAAGAACCATTTCATGTTTTCTTCACATCTAAATTTCACTCCATTTTTATCACCATCTGCAGGAAAGACATGATGACAGCATGGTAGATTTGTATGATGAATGATGATAACTTTCCTCATCTAAGAAGTATCCTGAGTGGGATCTCTTATTCACATTAACCTTAAAAGACACTGCTAGAATTCATAGCACCCAAATGCTCATGCAAATAGTCAGACATAACATTTATATAACACAGCCTCAAACAAAATAATAAGAACATGAAATAAATCATACCACAATCAATTCTTTACGAGCTTCTTGCAGCTCATCATTACTTTGGCGCTCTTTGACGATCAGTGCTTGATTTAGGTCTTCCAAACTAGTCATCTCATCAACCTTCTGCTGCAATTCCTCATTCATCTCTTTTATCTTCTCCTGAACAGCTGCATCATCTTCATCTCCCAAATGCTTCATCACCTGCAATTTTCCTTTAAGCTCTTCAATTTCCATCTCCAATTTCTGTTTAGCATCTAGTTGCCTTTCCAACCGAAGTATCTTATTTAATGCCTCTTGTTTCTCCTTCTGCACATGTGAAACCCTATTCGATGAGACTAAGCAGGTTGTAAATGAAAGATAAAAGGTTAAAAGTATAAACTCCAGTATCTGACCAAAGTTTGATGGTAGTTGGCACACCTTTTGCTCTTCAACCAGCCTTAAGACATTCTCATCGGCCTTTTTCTGCTCCATGGAAGCCATTTGCAGTGAATTGTTTCTTGTCGAATTCTAAACAAGACAATAAGACAAGAAGTTATATCGGTAACAAGCATGAAGAAACATCATATATGAAAATCTAAGTACAATTGACACTTGGGTTATCGTAGGGATATGTGTCTGACATATCTAGTCCGCTAAACACCTAACAAATATGTTTTTAAATGGTAGAGTTTACTTTAAATCTATGCATAAGACTCCCACTCTATGCATAAAAGGGTCTATGTTAGTTTGAAAACATTTTAGTATTTACGAAATGTGGAATTTGGTCCTATCTTGGTGTCCTTGGGCATGAGAAGTAGATGAATTTGACACTTAAGACACATGCATCAGACTCCTGTACCCGATTCCATGCAACATAGATGAAAATAGAACAGCTTATTTGTGAAGGACAGTCAACAACTTTTATTTGATTATTATTATACATATTTTGGTTTCCATTTAACTTATCAAGCTGAAAACGTGAAATACTAGAAAAGACAGATGGATTTTATTCACTTATATCTTTCCAGGCGAGGAGTCTGCACAGGTTTCACACTTGCGTATAAAACAAGGATAAACTGACAATTTGTTTATCAATCAATACTTTCTAGATGTGTCGAATCCCTCCCAGAAATATAATCAATGTGGACAACATTCGCATGAATGACACAGAAGCTAATTCTTCGATACCATAGTATGCTATGGACATCACATGTGTTCCTGTACGTGTATGCATAAATTGAACTCATATCACCTCTTGCTTCTCCTCATCAAGTTTCTGTCTCTCACGTTCAGTTAATGCTTCACGTTTGTTTAGTTGTTTGCTCCAAGTATCAAGTTCCTTCCTCTTGTTCTCCAACTCAAAATTCAGCATCTCCTGTTCATCTAAAATTCTTCGAATGTGCTCTCGTGCTAGACGCTGCATCTTCCTTGTTTCTGAGACAGAAAATAGCAATATATTACGAATTCAAAAATTCTTCTAATGAATCAAAAAGAAATACTCATCAATTTTGAATCCAGTAAGCCTCAAATGTCCTGCAGTTGGATGCATCAACCAAATTTTCATTTCTTATATTCGCATGCAACTCATGGCCCTATATTGAATTTGCCGTATCAACTTTGAAACGCTTATATCTGATTATTGGAAATAAATGGCACGCTACGCATGTGGTGTGGATCCATCAAGGGGTGAAAATCCAAACAAATGCAAGAGGGACAGAAATATGTATGCCTGAGGAGGACCCCTTTTCTGAGCTAAACAAACATAACCCAGCCATGAAATATAAATAGGTTGATGCAAAATACCTATACATATGCAAGCCTGAAACACATGAAATTCAAATGCATGGGCATACAAATATGCACACACACACACAGAGGAGGGAGGGAAACCTTCATAGAAAGCATGATGTAGCATGTCTTTCTCCTCAAGCATCCTGCTCAAAGACATTGTCTTCTCATTGTACTTGTACTGCAACTCATTCAGATTTTCATTTTTGATGTCGATCTCATTGGCTAGGTTAGCCACAATTTTGTTTCTATCTTGAGTGGCTTCCTGGACAAGGTTAGAGATTGTCTTCAACTCTCCTGCTTTACGAAGGTATTGTCCAACTGGCCCTTCTGACTTATAATCATCCTCACGAGCAAGCCATCCATAAATAATGGAACCATGAAGTCCTTCCTGAGCTTTCCACTCCTTTTTACTGTGATGATCAGCTTCAAAAGACTTCTCAAATTCCATTGCATTCTTAAAACCAGTCCAGTCATTATCAAATTTCACAACGGCTTGCGAAGTTTGGTTCTGGTCATCCCAGAAAATCTCAACTTCCAGAGGTTTAAATTTAGAGAACTTCTTCAACCAATATTCATTGCTAACTATAGCTTTTCCATTCTTTGGCTCATCAACAATGTTCATGACAATTCCTGTCCAAGGCCAGCAATATAGATCATTTTGTTCAGACTTCTCAGCTACTGGAGCCGGTTCAATCACACACTGTGGTTGCTCTGCCTCATCCACTAGGTCAATCTCCAAGTACATTGCAAGTGCAAGGTGGTTTGCCTTCTGTTTTGCACTTCTGTTGGCGGAACCTTTACCCACTCCCGAAGCATGTTGGAGAAGCTCCTTATACTTGTAATCTTGTTTCTTCTTTCCTGCGCAGTAGGGACACCTGAGGGCGCCATTTACATGCTTTACTTTGTACTTCCCAGCCTTCAGTTCCTCATAAGGTTTCTCTTTGTATTCATTGATCTCTGACTCGCTCAAATCTGAATCTTCATCAGAGCTGTAGTCCATCAGACCTAGAGATGAAAATCATAATTCTTAGGAAAAATTTTCATGAAATAATCGGTATTAATGGCTGGAGATCTATGTATATGTAGGCCAAGGGGGGAGCCATGGCCTCTCCAAGTTGTTGGTAGGGGTGTACACGGTCCGGATTGGTTCGGTTCTGAGAAAATCCAAGAACCGAACCAATCCTAACGGTTCTGTGATTTTGAGAACCAGACCAGACCGTTACACTTGTAAAACCGAACCAGAACCAAACCGAAAAAACGGTTCGGTTTCGGTTTGGTTTACGGTTCCAAAAATTTCTATTTACAAGAATAATTTATTAATATTAGCAAAATAATTATTCAAACTAATTACATTTAACTCATGATTAAAACTAATAATATTATGGCATTACTTAATATTACATATATATACCATCCTAATATCATTAAAATTATAAAAAATCAATTAATAAAAATAAAACTTGATATTATATATATATTTTTTATTTTATTTTTTAAAATTCGGTTCGGTTCGGTTTGAACCGCGGTTTTTTCATAAAATCCATTAACCGAACCGTTTTTACGGTTCTCATATTTCTTAATCCGTAACCGAACCAATTCTTAATAGAACCGAACCAAACCGTATAATTCGGTCTGGTTCGGTCCGGATTACCGGTTTGAACGGATTTTTGAACAGCCCTAGTTGTTGGAAATCCCTTTACTAGCCGTCTATTTACAAGTGTTCCTAAAATATGTAATGGGATGCCCCCACCAATTTTAGAGATCAAATAATATTGCATCAATTCCACGTGGCTTTAATTTTGTACAAGATGCGTAGATATCAGTTTTTTTATTTTTATTTTTATTTTTGCATTTAGTATACAAAATTATTGTGGTAGACTTTTTATTTATCTAAAGATCCTGATCATATAGCTTGAAAATTTTATGAAATAATTGAAAAGGCAATAAGAGATGACCGTTGTAAATTTATTGATTTACATTCTTGTAATAATGTATTCTTATACAACTTATGAAAGAAATTATCTTGACTAGTAGTGTGGCAAACCAAATCCTCTCTTTTTTTCACTTGGCTCACTGAGCACCAGAAATTATTAAAGCAATGCCTACGTTTGATTCAGTTTTCAATTGATAAAAATAAAATAAAAAAGTTCTGAGAACAAAATAAAGGCCAGAAAGTTACTACCAGCTTGTGTATTAACCATACATTTTACCAACAAAATGTCACTACTATGGTAAATGGATAAAATAATCTTGTTTTCCTTGAATATAGCGAAATATGAATAAATTTTTGACATGAACATCATAGTCAAGCAAATATTAAGATTAAGAACTAAAGATGTCTAAACCTGGACTGGACTTGAGTGCATAGTATATGATATTACATGGCAACATATTAATGCAACTCAAAGAATAGCATGCAAAATGGCTTACATTAAAGGGAGTTCATTCATGGAAAAAAATGAAGCTTTTCTTCACTAAGCAAGTGTAAGTAAGTGAATCACATGCAGGTAACAGGTTAAAGAACTTCCAGGGAAATAAATTCTGTAGTTGTCAAATCGGGATTCGTATCGTGAATCGAAATGGCCTTGTACCGAATTGCGAATCGAATCAAATCGTGAATCGTAAAGATTCAGTCACTTTTTCTAAATTACTTAAAAATATAGATTTACACATTTAGATGTTAAATATATCTTATGAATATAAAATATTTAGACTTAAATCAATGAAAATGTTATTTTGAATAATAATCACGTAGTTTAATAGGTAAGAAGTTAACAAAGGTTCCTATGTAAGATCACCATTTTTTCTTTTTTAGATATTTCTTATCAACCATTTTTAATAAAGATGTAATATCACCATCTTGCCTTTTTTCTTTTTTAGATATTTCTTATAAGCCATTCTTAATAAAGATAGTAACCAAATAGACAAATTATCAATTTTCAAAGTAACAATAATTAACAACAATGTTGATATTTGGACAATAAGCATATATACTTTTCTAAGTAACAGTGAGCAAATAATAAGAAGGAATTATTTAGAATCTTTTATTTTAAAGCCTAAAATATTTTAAAAAGTATAACTAACCTCACACATGTAATATTCAATTTAATAAAATAGTAATAGATAATTTATAGTGTAACTTTAATCTTAAACATCTTTATAACATAAATTATGATTTTTTAAAAGAAAAAAAAATAAGAAGAAAGGTTAAAAATATGTTGGGTCTGATTGAATCTGATTGGATCCTATTGAAAACTCCATGATCGTTAAAATAACAATAAATCATGTATATATGTTGGTTATTTTGGATGGACAAAAAAAGAGACAAAATATGTCGGACACAATAATTTCAAAAGTTGCATGAATCGTAAAAAGTGAATCGAATCGTGAATCGATTGTGAATCGTGCGATTCACTAGAGATTCACTTCCAAAATAGATTCACCAATAGATTCGTATCGATTTTGCAAAAATTGCAAATCGAATCGTGAATCGTAAGATTCTGATAACAGAAATCAATAATACAATGCCCTTTGAAATTTTCTCTTGCATAAAAAAATTCTATGGATTAGAGAATGTTACATGTTTGATCAATTGAAATAGAACTTACTGAACAAAACCACAGTACAGGAGGAAAAGATTTCTCAAAAAATATTTTTAGTGGAAATTAAATGTTAAGATAGGAATAATATAAAAAAAATTCATCTGGCATCCCACTATTTCCCAGTATTAAGACTCTATATTTGGATTTATGAATTTGAAATAAATGAATTTGGGACTCGGGTCGGGGCGCAGCGTAACTAAGAGAGCCATTCCATTTAGGGCGAGACAAAATGGGCGGGCACGAGTGGTCTATTGTCCGAGCCTATTGGTCAGACGACGACTACTTCACTTATTAGATTAGTATTAGCCGCCTACCCTGGAATGGAATGGGATTGAGCACTTAATCATTCATGGAGAATAGTTCAAATTTAAGTATGATATTTTAGATATGGATTTTGAGATTGGATATGGTTGATTTCACATGATGGATTTGAAATAAATCCTTCATATAGTCAATACAAAAATCAAATTTCAAATTAGTTTTTGAGTTTTCAATCCATTTTTTTGTGATTTTTTAAAAAAATTTAATCATTTTTTTTAAAGCTTTTAGATTTAATTAATTTAGATACAGTTAGAAAGTATAAAATTTATACAAATATCATTCACAATTTCATTGATACAAAAAAAATACAAAAATTCAGTATATTTTCATATTTTGTTGTATTCAATAATTTTTTTAATTATAAATTTAATACTTTTTAAGTGTATCTAGATCTTTAAAATAAAAAAAAAAATTTAAATGTTTAAAAATTTCAATAAAAAAAATATGAATTGAAAACTTAAAAAACTATTTTTAAAAAATCCAAATTGCTTTCAGTGTTTCTTTTAGTGGAGTTTCTTCATATATTAGCTTCTTCTTTTTTTTAAAAAAAAAATAACTAACTAACAAAAATCCAATTCATGTATTTGAAATCACATATTATCCATCCAAACGAACCAAATTTCCTAAATCACATATCATACGCAAAACAGCAGATCGATTCTCTAACGCAAAAGGACATTTATGCCTTCTAATTACCAAAACAGGAACATTTCATCAGAGAGAGTAACATGACAAAATCACTCAGATCGTTTAAAACACAGATATGCGTTTAGAGATAGACCGAGGTGAGTGACAGGAATGTTAATACATACCGAAATTAGCGAAAGGATTGAGATATAAACCGCCAGCTCTGTACTTGCCCTGTGCTCAACAATGGCGATTACAGAGAGAGAGGGAGAGATCTTGTAAATCAAGGAATGGTAAAAAGATCAGCTGCACAAACACTCATATTTACCTCAGAGAGAGAGATCTCTCTGTAGAGAACACTCTCTCTCTCTCTCTCTCTGAAGAAGAAGAAGAAGAGAAATCTCATACCGAATGAGTTCCCCTCTCTGTCAAAGAGGGTCAATCTCTCATTTAGTTCTCTGAACAGAGCAACTCTCTGTAACTCTCAAACTCTTTTAGAATCCAATCTCCCTGACTGGAGATGGCTTTGTATCTCCCACACTTGCAGATTACATTTTCTCCCACTCTATCTAAAACAATCACACAACCTCTCTATTTATAGACTCTGCTAATATTATATCATTTCAAATTCAATTCATACTCAATTTATAGTTCATAAAAATTTAAAAAGTATATTTATTTAGGACACCGTAAACCCAACTCACATTTAATAGTGATATTTTAATTTTTAATTTATTTTAAATTACATCATCATATATATTTTTTATTTATTTTTTTTAAAAAAATTAACTTTTAATCCTATTCTGAAAATAACCCGTCGTCAGTGGAATAGCGTTGACGGTGTCAGTGTTGGAAAAGAAATAGATGAGGTTGTTGATGTTGATTTTTAAAGTGAGTCATAAAATAATTAGTAAATGATTAAACAATAATGCTCTGGATAATATTCGGAATACAAAAATTTTTTATTAAATAAGTTCTCGTTTAGGAACAGATTTTTTAATAATTTTTTAATTATTTGACTAAAATATGATGTAAAAAAAATAAATATTTTAGGATGATTTTTTAATTTTTTACGAAAATATGTATAAAAAGTAGAGAGAAAATAAAATATTTGACTTTTTGATATAAATTATTTGTTTTTTTTATTTTTTTAGTGACTTTATAAAAAAATTACTTGTCAAACGAGGCCTAAATAATCAAATGTCTTACATGGTATGGAGTCATAAAAGCGTAGACCCACAACCATATGAGGTATTTAATCATTTATTTATTAAAAAATTTAAGACCAATAATATTTTCCTAATGCTAAATCCACACAATTTTTTTTCTCAAATTATATTGAATATGACTCTAAGAAGATAATTTTTTACCGGTAAAAGTTTTATTTTTACCGATGAAAAACACAATTGAAAGAAATTGAGCAAGAAAATTTGTATGAATAAAACATTAATCATGATTATATTGGACAGTAAAAATAGATAAATATATTCCTTTCAAGGGTACATGGATTTGATATACCCTACAAACTACAAAGGTACATACATATGTCATGTAAAGTTAATTTTGATGTGATGTGACCAGCACTCAAAATAATTTATTTTGAATAATAAATTCTATAATTTTAATATAATTATAAAAAATATTAAATTATATTAAAATTGATATAAATAGTACAAAAATATAAAGATAAACAAAATTAATTAAATATATATATTAAAATTATTTAATCATTATAAACTAATGAATTCTTGATAAAAATAAATAATATTATATAAATTAAAATATTAAAAATATATAATATAATTATGTTGAAATGTATTATAGAGAACAATGTAATTTACCCAATTAATAAATATCTTGAAATTCTACTTAATATTTAAAAAATAAGTAAAAATTAATATTGCAATAAGCTTCAAAATTGAATAGCCAAATGTCTACGTATGATTTCTTCTATGTTAAATTTATTATATGATAAAATGGATGTCAATTCTTTTTTATGATTTTTTTTTTTATTATTCTTACAAAAATTTGGCATGTGAATATGACTTGATTAAAGTAAAAATATAATAAAATAATAAATTTAACATATTAAGTGAAGTTCTTTTTTTATTATATATTTTTATAAATGTCAAAAATATATATATTAATTTTCACCTAAACAGTCAAAAAAAATTAGCCTACCAATTTTTAAAAGTTTTAGTGGATATGCTCTTAAAACCCTCTATAATATTAATGACATGAAGTCAGCGTTTTGTGTGGGTTTCATAAACACAAACTGATATGAGCATTTGGTAATAAAAAACGGTAGTGTTACGTATATATCAATTAGTGAATTAGTTAGTATTGTGATATTATTATTGACTATATTTATTATACAAGTTATAAATATCTAAAATTATATAAATGATGTCACATTGGGTTGGTTTGGAAAGTGGGTTGACTTTTTGGCTTTTTGACTTTTTTGGCTATTTTAGCCTGGGTTAAAAATGTTGGTTTGGGAAGGACTTTTTGGCTTTTTGATTTTTTTGACATTTTTTGTAAGAGAAGAGTGTAATGATTATGGATTGGATGTGATGTTTTGTTTGTTGTGGCTAGAAAAACCTATTTTGTCTTTTGTGGCTAAATTAGTCAAAAAAGCCCATAAAACTACTTCCCAAACGGTGCCATTATATGTTAGTAGACTAGTGTATAGGGGTGCAACTCGGGCGGGTTCGGTCGGGTTGGGAGTTTGCCCAAGCCCAGTCCGAATTGTGTTTGGCAGTGTCCAAGCCCGTCCAAACCCGACCATCAACCCGAGCATGGCTGCCCAAGCCCGGATCAAGCTTTATAATTTGAACTCAGGTTAACTCGAATTGCCCGAAATTCACAAACAACATCATAATGCTTCATTATATATATACACAAGTCCATTCACATCTGGTGCATAAAACACTGGTACATATAAATGCTAGATATGCTAGAAATGGTAGACCAGCCACAAACTTCAACAGAATTGAAAGTTTCTTCGATTGCAATTAATTAACAAACAATGGTTTATTATTCCATATAACAAATAGTGCTTCATTATTCCACACATAAGGTAGGGTTTTCTTTTTAAATTTAGTCTAATGGTCCAAATAAAAGATGTTAATCCAAGGGTGAAAGACCAGCCAAAAAATAAATAAATAATTAAAGACATCTATTTAATTTAATTTATACATATATTATATAATTTATATAATATATATAATTCGGGTTCGGGTTGCTCGGCTTAGCCACTGATTTTACCCAGGCCCGACCCAAATTACAATTCAAGTATCAAAAATCTGCCTAGGCCCATCCAAATTATAAGATATTGTTGCCCAAGTCCTAAAAAAACTCGAACTAGGCACAGGTTGCTCAGGTTGAGCCCGCTCGAGTTGAGCCCGCTCGAGTTACACCCCTACTAGTGTATACATTAGTACACATAGCATTATTCAATTAAAACATCAATGACATGAACTTTACATATAAGTTAATGAGTTATTTAATAAGAAAAATGGTTAGTGTTTTTTTTTTTTTTTTTTTTTAGAATTATTGTTTGAAATGTGTAAAACATAAAAAATTATTTTGAAATATGTGAAACGTGTATTAAAATTAAAAGTGTTTTTGGCATTATCTATCTATTTATCTATATTATTATTAAGTGTAGTGAAGTATTTGCTCTCCTCATGTTACGTGACAGTATTTTTTATTTTTTATTTTTAAAATTATACAAAAAGATGAATAAGGCTTTAACCCCCATAACTATGACATTAAGGTAGAAAAACTCATATTACTTAAGATAAGGTTACTTTATAATATTTAGTTTATTCTTACTTACTTAAATTATATAGGCGTCATGTGTCTCATCGGCTAATACTGTTATTAACTAAAGGCTGAACTTTTATTATTTTTACTTATTTAAATTATACCCCTATCATGTTTCACCCACTAATATATTTTTATTAATAGCCTCTAGGTCAACAAAAAATAATGTGGTGACAAAAATCCATTTACAAATCGATTCACGCGCATGCAGTAGGGTTGTACTACTCTGTCACTCGTGTTGGCCACTTAACTACTATTAGGGCAAATTATAAAAAAAAAATTAAAAAAAATCTCAATATTTTTCACATTAAATCCTAACATTTTAATAATTTAAAATTTGAATTTTTAAAAGTGTTCCAATATTAACCCTCTGTTTGTTTCCGTTTGTTTCGGTTCTTTTTATAGTTATTTGATACACATGTCACTTTTTGATTCGTCTATAATTATTATAATTATTTTATTTCTAAATTACTTTCTTTTCTTTTCTTTTTCTATCGGCACTCTCTCCCTCTCTGTTCTCTCTTTCTCTAATCTCTTTCTACCTTATACTCTCTCTCTCTCTGTTAGGCCGATGTAACCATTGATCGACCGCCCAACTAAACCACCTTTTTATCGTCGGAATGGCGAACTCAACAAGTGAGAGAATCATCAGCCATCCAGTCAAGAGGAGATCTCTGATCAAGGTGTATGAGCTTTGAGATGCTATGGTTGAATTCGAATATTTATAGAAGAAGATCCCCAACAAGAGCCAAACAAAGGATCAAAGGTATGAGGAATCCGTTTCGAAACTAAGAGTGGTGCGGTTGGTCAAGTCACAACAGGTTGTATTATGGTAACGGCATTGAACAAATTTGAGGGAGGAAATAGTAGATGAGACGACGGATCTGAGAGAGATAGTGGAGGAGGGTGGTAGATCTGAAGAAATGGAGATGTGAGAGTAACGAATTCGAGTGAAACGGTGAGGGTGGCGATTCCGTAGCCCCGCGTCTAAGACTATCCAAAAACTATTTCTAAATTATATTGTTTCTTGAAAATTGGTAAACAGCTATAAGCACATGACAAAGTGAGAAATATTATACTAAGAGCATAAAGGCATAAAATTCACCATGGATAGTTATTGGCTAAACAAAGCTTGATATTAAAATACAGAGTATATAATACAGATATCATTTGACATATAATACAGAAATCATATAAACAAAATAATCATAATCACGGTACAGAACGGAATAGAACAGATGTATGGACTCAAGATGTGGCTCGTACGAACTCTAGATGTGGCTCCTATCATAGTGTAACACTTAGCTCCGTACCGCACTTTGCTCCACACTAGAAATCATAACCACAGTACAAAACAGAACAGATGTATGGACTCAAGAGGTAGCTCGTACAAACTCTAGAGATGGCTTCCACAATAGTGTATCACTTAGCTCCGTACAACACTTTACTCTACACTATAAATTAGAGTGTCAGTAGATTCGTGACAGACAGTGTCACAAAATGAATAATTAGAGGGCCAATGGTTATTTAAGTCTCTTAAGGCATGAGACCCCGTGGTGGTACTTATAAA